GCTAAAGTTTCTTCGGAAAGAATTTTTACGGAAGATTAACAAACAAACACAGAGGCGTAGCAATATATTTATCTGTCTTTTAAGACATATCTACATAACTAGAGGGGCACACTAATCCAATCTGAAACAACCCCTTCATTCATAAGGCGAAGGTTACAGTTACGTAAAAGAGCTTTTGGATCCATAAATAGCTATTGTAGTGAAGCTGGGTACATTACCTGGTACCCTCAACGACTTAATAAAATCTTAATTAAAAACCAAAGGTTCACAAGTTTCAGGGCCTGTATCTGTCATTGAACTTAAATACAATAATCTCTTTAACTATAATTTGAAATAAAATACGTTATATAACAAATAAACAATGAAAAGAAAATTAACCCTTGAAAACATGTTAACATAGAAATTAAAAATTTACAGGCAAAATTAGAATAACAAGAAACCCTTTTATTAAAACTATATTTTAATATGTATACATATATATATATATATATATATACTGTATATATATATATATAAACAAAAAAGAGAAGTCATTCAATTACAAATATTACATAATACAAAATGAGCCCCTCAGTTGGACAGCGGTAAATTATGGACTTACAACTCTATAATCCAGGGTCAGATTTCATACATAGGATACCGCAGATAGCTAATGTAATTTTGTTCTAAAACGAACAAATGATACAAGATGAAATCCTTTAACAAAGAGAATTACAACATAAAGAACGTAAGTATACATATATATACACATACATATTGTTACGACAGCGGAAGTCACGCGATTCTGGAAGCATGCGCGCTGGAGTTTCTTGAACGATCATGACTGTTCCTAGCAACTCTAGTCTTTTCTAGGCGCCCTCGATTTTAGTATATAAGCCCTGCAAATAAAGCGGAGATATAATTGCAGATAAAGAGATAGAGACAGATAATTAGGCTAAGTGAGCGGTAGTGACCGTAAGTAAAGTGCGTGAATTGTTATGAATTATAGCGTATGTTAAGTTAAAGTGACTGTGGAAATTAAGTGTATTACAAAGTTTGTAAAGAGAAAGAATAAACTAGTTTTAATTAAGAAAGGACTTGTATCGCTGAAGTTTCTCTGAAAGAATTTTTACGGGAAATTAACAAACGACCAGAGACGTAACAATATATACAAAACACCCTTTAATAGTGAAATACATATTAAAGCAACTTTGACAAAGATAAACTTACTCTCTCAAAGGTAGATAGTCCAATACTGGCAAAAATATTACAAAGGAAACATAAAATGTAAAGAAAACTTTAACATTACTCACCTGATCTCTCTAGAAAGGGGCAATTTAACAGACTAAGTATTAGAATAATGAAATGAAATTTTTTGACGAAAATTAAAATTTAACACATAATGAAATAAAACAAAACCCTTAAGTTAAATACAGATTTCAATTAAGAAAAACGAAACATTTTCAAACAATAATGTAATATAATGAAAGCTATTTTCAAAAGATTAAATTAAATAATACAACCAAAGCTTTTATATTTATAACAAAATAATTCTTTTAATCAACAATGAGACAAAGAAAATGAAATCTTTTAACTTTAATTCTTTAAAATGCACGAGATGAAATAGCTCC